GTATGAAGAGCAATTGTTTCTGTCCCTAGCCAGTTTGGCTCAGTGGATAGAGCATTGGCCTGTGGACTGAAGGGTCCCAGGTCTGGTTCCAGTCAAAGGGCACACTCCCAGGTTGCAGGCTCCATCCCCAGTGGGGGATGTGCAGGAGGCAGCCAATCAGTGATTCTCTCTTATCACTGATGTTTCTATCTCTCTCTCCATCTTCCTTCCTCTCTGAAATCAATAAAAAAAAAATGTTTTTTTTAAAAAAGAGAGAGCAATTGTTTCTGGAGGAAAGAAATATGGTCTCTGTTTTCTTCCCATTCTACCTTTCCAATTTTATAATTAGCAGAGCTAAGCTTATATTGAAAAGAAAGACTTTTTTTAAAACTTGATAAATCCATTCTCATGACATGGAAGAGAGGGAGAGGGGATAAGAACTGTGGAAATAAATGAGGTATAGATACCAGAGACTGAAATGGGGTTCGCGGTACACTTGTGGTAATAGCAATTTTTATCCACATTACTCTTAGTAAAAATTTTTACATTTTCTAAAGTTGATTTTAAAGAGAGAGGAAGAAAGAGGGGGAGAAAAGGAAACATTGATGAGAGAGAAATATCAATTGGCTGCCTCCTGCATGCCCGGATCTGGGATCGAGCCCACAACCCAGGCATGTGCCCTGACTGGAAATCGAATCGGCAACTTCTCAATGCATGGGAAGCCACACTGGCCAGGGCTTGGGAAAAAACAACAACAACAACAACAAAAAAACCTTAGTCACACTATTCCCAGTGCCAGAATATTAAAAAAAATAAAAAAAAAATAGTAGCCTCCTATATGTGCTACAAATGATTACATTCTGTGAATCTGAATTCCAAAAGAATGAAAGAACTGTATCAGCACCTTACTAAAAAGAAGTCTGACTTTTCTGTTAAACCCCATTTGACCACCAAAATAACAACTTAAACAATGGATTCTCTGTATCTGTCATGTAATTCCTAAATTTTGTTTCTAAAAAGATTCAGCCAAGAGGAATAAACTGTTTTTATTTTTTAAAAATCACTGTCAAAGAAAATAAATTTCTTTATATAGGAAATTAAACTTGAAAACCAGAAAAAAGAGAGAAAATGATTAAGTTGAAAGATTTTCACAATTCAATTATTTTTTTTTTAATATTTTTTTATTGGTTTCAGAGAGGAAGGAAGAGGGAAAGAGAGAATTACTGATCCTCCTGCACAGCCCCAACTGAGGATCGAGCCTGAAACCTGGGCATGAGTCCTTGAACGGAATCAAACTCGGGACCCTTCAGTTCACAGGCCGACACTCTATCCTCTGAGCCAAACCAGCCAGGGCCACAGCTCAATTATTTGAGATTCTAGTTTTCTGCTCCAGATATCAATAGTGATGCCCCAGTACATAAGGACTGTTCTAGATGCTCACATAAATGTTGCTTTTAAAACAAAGAATGAATAAGTACCTACCTATTGACATATATTGGAAATGACTCTATAAACATTTAATGAGTGAGTGAAATAATAGGAATTGCTATATACAGTATATATTTTAAAATATATTTTTATTATTTCAGAGAGGAAGAGGGAGAAAGAGCGAGAAAGTGGGAGAGAAACATCAATGATGAGAATCACCTATTGGCTCTCCCTCCTACTTTCCCCACACACACTCCCCACTGGGACTGAGCCCACAACCCAGGCAAGTGCCTTAACCAGAATAGACCCATGACCGCCGGGTTCATAAGGTCAACACTCAATCACTAAGTCACATTGGCCCAGTAAGAACTGTTATATTTTTAAACATAAAATACACATCTTCAAGTGCTGGAGAAGAAACCAGCTGCCAAGGCAGTACCAGATAGAACTGTATTGGCCAATTTACATCGTTACCCTGTGGGATTTCGTCCAGATATCCTTTATATTGTAGAACATGTATTTCCAGGACTGGGAACAGTTTTCTAATTTATGTATGTTCTAGTTCTAGTATTTTTCAAATGTTAGTAATTTCTCTACTAACCACTTATGTGATTTATCAAACTATGTACCATGTTTCATAATACTAACTTGTTAAGTTTTTCACATGGCTCAGATGCCTGACAAAGAGAGTATTATTAACCCTCTTTTGCAGAAGACACTACTGAAGCAAAAGGAGTTGAAGTAAAAAGGTAAGGTTAAAAAACGACCAGCCCAGGTGGCTTAGCTCAGTGAACCGGGAGGTCCATTCCATTCCCTGTCAGTGCACACGTCTGGATTGTGGGCTCCATCCCAGAAGGGGGCGTGTGGGAGGCAGCCAATCAATGGTTCTTTCTCATCATTGATATTTCTATCTTTCTCTCCCCCTCCTTTTCTCTCTAAAATCAGTAAAAGTATATATTTTTAAAAAGAAACAAAAAACAAGGTCACAAGTAAGCTCTGGAGACAACAGTAAAACCTAGGTTTCCTGACCACCAATCTAGTCCTTCATTGTAGTTATTATTTAAAGGACACATACAAATCACTCCCTCCCACCCACTCTTCTCTAAAATTTGCTCAAACAAAACGAGTAGACTTCAGAGTTAACAGGAAATGACAGAACCAAAAACAACTGGGGTGTGGTCTCACCTCAGAAAAAGATTTCTAGCTGTGAATAAATGCAGACAATCATGGCCAGACAAGGTCAGGATTTAGTGCCCTGTGTAACACAATGGACCTAATATATGAACTCCTTACTGTCTTAGAACAAGAATATTTCAAACTCTGGAAAACAGGGGGGGTGGGGGGGGGAGAGGCAACATAAGTCCCCAAGAAGCCAAAGTTCTGTGACTAAGTTCTTATGCTGACGTTTTTATAGACAAATTAAATCCACACATTGTAAGGGCCTGAAATAATTTGTTTCATTTATTTCATTTATTTAAGAGTAATCTTGTAAAGTATACAACAGGTAGTAATTTATAATTTCACCAAAAAAACAAATTTGAATCATACAGACTATAAGGGTGTTACTTAACTGTGAGCCTGCCTAACTGGCACCTGCATTTTAAAATATATATATATATATATATATATATATATATATATATATATATATATATATATATATATATTTACTGATTTCAAGTAGGAAGGAAGAGGGAGAGAGAGAGATAGAAACACCAACGATGAGAGAGGATCATTGATCGGCTGCCTCCTGCACACCCCCTACTGGGGATCGAGCTGGCAACCCGAGCATGTGCTCTTGACCGGAATCGTCCACAGTCCAACGCTCTATCCACTGAGCCAAACTAGCTAGGGTGCACCTGCATTTTAACAGAATTTATTTTACTTCACTTCTACATTTAAGGGTATGGACGGTTCATTTTAAAATTTCCTTTATGACTTATGTCACATCCCATTTATTCTGACTTGCTACACAATTCTGATTTACTTGTTTTCCCAACTACTTCAGTTTAGAAGTGGCAGATTAAAAGGGCATATTTTGACAGAACAGTACTGGACTAGATAAACGGAAAACAGACAAAAGCACTAAACTGGTATATCAATGAGTCGTTTTAGCACAGGAGGAAACTGCCAACACCCTTATACAGCAGAATGCACCGGCCATATTAACAGACAGGATGGAAATACACGCACATAATGATGACCTTGATTTATCAAAAAGGGCTATGTTTAGTATATTCTGATTTTAAGAGACAGCTATATGCTCTCTTTATGCATTACATGTTATAAAAACTGAAATCAAAATGGCCAAAATAATTTAGCAGCTAAAGGACTGTCGGTTACATGAACAATTCATTTACATCCCCATGATACCAGACAAGTAATGAGTAAATAATCTCAAAAATACCATTATATTTACTAAGTATTATACAGTATGGATAACAACATCTGTGATCAACACAATGCTGACCCTTTAGGAGGGAAAACTAAGTTACACACTGAACTTACATAGTGTAGACAACATTTATGATGCTTAATGTTTTTAGAGGGAAAATACCTAGTTCAACACTAAAATTCCCCCCTTCATTAACCATTCCATAGGCTTTTCCACTTAAAAAAAAAAAAAAGTACTGCCTTTAATCTTGGCTTGCTTTCTCCTTCTAATTACCAAAATGAAAAAAATAAAAGTATTGTAATAGTTTTCCCCATTTACAGCTAACCCCTTCATCCAGAGACCTCTAACACAGCTGGCCTAGGTATCCTTCTTCCTACAAAATAGGGTTCTCAAACGGATTGTTAAAACCCAGAGAGAGAAGAGTTGCACCTAAGTCTCCAGGCTGAACAAAGGAAGCCCACCCTGGTATGTTTAAACCGGAATTCTCAGTTTCAGGGCAGAGACAGCTGCAACGTGCCACCTTACAAGTGTCAGTAAGGAGCACTTTCGTTTCTGTTGGAGATCTGAATCAGAGAACATCTTTCTCCATATCTCTGCGGTCCAAAGCAACATAAAACACCAACATCATGTCAAAAGGTCTGTGAACCTCTTTTCAAGCATCCTAAGATGATGGCTTTGTCTGTCTTTATTTCACCATACCGTTTCTTTTCCTAGCAGCAGAGACTTGTGGTGATCTGGACAAAGAGGGCACAAGGTTTGTGTCCTAAAAAGGGGGGGGGGGGGGGAGGGAAGGGACGAGCTGACTTGCTCCTAAAGAAGGGGAGCGGCCGAAAGACCTGACCTGGAAGAATCGACTGAACCCCCTCCGCACAGATGGCTTCCCCGGATCACAGGCTAACACGGAGGAATAGTTTCTTTTAAAAAAGATGGGATCCAGGCCCTTTTGGGTGGATGGGAGAAGAAATCCCCACCCCACCTGCAAGTCCCGCTAGCTCCCCGTCTGGGTGCAGCGGACACCGCCGGAGGCCCCAGCGGGCAGCCCCGCGGGGATCCCGGCCTCCGGCTCCCACACCCCCTCCCGGTGCTCCTCCCGGTCCGCGCCGCCGGGCCGCCGCCGCCGCCCTCCGCCCCCGAACCGCCGCCCGGCCCGGGGCCCTCTCCCAGCGGGTCCCGGAGGAAGGCCCGGCCCGCCAGGTACCTTTGATGACGCGTTCGGTGGTGGAGAGGCGGGAGTTCCCCTCGGACATGGTCCCCTCAGCCTCCGCCCGGCGCCGGGAGCCCCCCGGAGGGCGCCTCCGCCCGCGTCCCGGGGTCTCGGCTCCAGGGGCCGGTCAGCCCGCCGCGCCGCGCCGCAGCCCAGGTTCCTCGGGGCGGCCCAGGCACCTGAAGGAAGTGGCCGCTCTGCAAGTCAGCCTCGCACCCCGCCGACAGGACGCCGGCCCACCGGCCGCTCCTTCCAGAGGAGCTGGCCGAGTCGCGAGCGCCGGCGACCGCGGTTTAGCCGGGCGGCCCGGCCCGCGCGTGCGCACGCGCGCTCCCGCGGCCGCTCTCCAACTTCCCGGCGGCCCGCGCGCGCCGCCGTCGCGCCGAGCCCGGTGCGTGGCCGCTCGGTGGGCCCCGCTGCACCCCGGAGGCTCGCGCCCTGCGCACGGGCGCTTCCTTCCTCTCCGGCTTCCGGCCGCGGTCTCCCTCCTCCTCAGCCCGCGCCCCCGGCTGACTCCTCCGCTGCCGGCAGCACCGCACGCTTTGCCCGAGGTCCTGCTCGGAGGCCCGACCACGCCGCGGCCACCTTGTGACCCGGCCGGAGCGAACGCGGAGCCGCGAATGCCGGTCCCCCTGGGGTCGCCTGGCGGAGAGCCCTGGCCCCGCCGCCCCGCGAGGCCGCGGGGGGCCCTTGCCTCCGGTGCGCTGCCCACTGCGGCAGGAGTCGTTGTGGACTTGTCCCCTACCCCCTTCCCCAAGCCGCCGAAGCCCCGGCTTAACTCTTCACGTCGGAGGGCGGTTATACAACGAGGAGGACGCCGCGGCCACCCCAGCTCCAGTGGGGAGCGGGGAGGACTTCCCTGAGGCGCGGACGCGGCCTTCCCGGGGCCCGCGGCCGCCTCTTCCCGCCTTCGAGAGCTGGGGCCCCGGGAAAGGACTCACCTGCTCCCCAGCCCTGCGGCACCTCCCGATGTTGTAACCCAGGAGAGACACCTCACTGGGACACATCAAAAATGTTTAGAAAAGCGCGTTTACAGGGTCTGCAGCTGTCTCGTGCAGGGAAGACGGACCCGACTGCAGCCCAAACTCTAGAAGCCTTTTGCTTATATAGGCTTCTCTTCCTTAGCAAGCAAGCAAGCTACGTGTACAGAAGCGGATATCTGCCTTTAGCCATCAGCGATTCCTAATTAATTTTTTACATTTAACAATTCATCTTCCCGCCACCTGGCCTTACCCCTCTTGTATCAGATAGTGGTCAGCACATCCTGCTTTTAATGAGCTTGTTTTAACGAGCTGGGCAGCGGCTGCCGTGCTGGCCTTGTGGAATGTAGGGTGCACAGCTGCTGCGCTGGCCTTGGGAATTTTTCAGTCCAGAACACCGAGAAGCGGCTCTCCGCCCGCGCCGGCGCCGAGTCTGCCTCCCCCGCTCCTGTCGACTGTGGAACACGAGGGGCCAGTCCCTCCGGAGAGCCTTCCTCTGGCTCCTCTCTGGGTTAAAAACGGGCCTTTCCATACATTGTAAGCCTAGAATAGAAACTCTGTTACCTGGACTGTCCTCCCTGCCCGGGTATAGTGTTCGGCAGAGTCAAATGTGTTTTGATTTTAGCAGCAATAATGAACTATTGAAACTGAGGTCCAAGGGCGTACAATATATGCAAATTATAGGCAAGCCAGCCAGCCGTAAGGGTTAGTGTGGTGGCCAATAAGAAGTCATCTGTGGGTATGGGCATTTAAATTGCATGAAAATGTAAATATTCAGTACCTTAAGTGCACTAGCCATATGCCCAATGTGGCTGGCGACATGGTAAAATAGGGCATTTCCATCATAGCAGAAAATTCTTTTGGACAGCTCCTAGCCCGAAGATTATAGGGGTTAAGCCCAAATCTGCATTACTGTAGACTTATGTATTGGAGAGAGATAGCCTGGAAGCAGACCCTGAATTATGCCTTGGAGTTTTGACCTAAGGCCCTTCATGACCACGCTAGCGAGGCCGGAGCCCTTCAGGAACTAAATAGAATTTGGTTCTCTTTTCTTGAGTTTTGACTTCAGGTTTCCAACCAAGAGAATTTATTTAGATATCTGAGGAAGTTCTTCATTTAAGAAGCAATCAGAGCTCCATACCTTTATCAAACAGCAAGTCTCTAAAGATCAAAAATAAATTGGTCCCTGCAGCATAATAGATGCTAAAGTTTATCTGGAAGAACATAAACAGGATAACTAAAAACAAAAGTTTTTAAAAAGGGATGGTTTAAAAAGCCATTGTTTAAAAAACATTGCAAACCAGTGTGTTCATCAAATTGGTGAACCTGATTCTCTTTCCTTTTACTTTCCGCAATGATCAGAATTGACTAAATGTTTTAAATTACCTAGATTCGCGTTTAACTGGCATTTCTAATTTCTTCAAATCTAGGTTTCTTCAAATAGGGCTTGTGAGACCTCGTATATTTCCTTAGGAAACTCCCTAATCACTTTAGAAACCTTAATTAATGACCAGCTCTTCTGAGAAATAATTATGAATGCTTTTAATTTAACAAAAGCACAGGGAATCCTAGTTTCTTCTAAGCTTCAGTTTCTATTTGTACGAAGCCATTAAATGCTAAACTTCTGTGTCAGATGTAGGCAAGAGAACCGTAGAATATTTTTAGTTTTTTAACTATGTTTAATACTTCTTTTTAAATATATTTTATTGATTTTTCACAGAGAGTAAGGGAGAGGATAGCTAGAAACATCGATGAGAGAGAATCATTGACCAGCTGCCTCCTGCACACCCCCTACCGAAGATGTGCCCGCAACCAATGTACATGTCCTTGACTGGAATCGAACCTGGGACCTTTCAGTCCGCAGACTGATGCTCTATCCACTGAGCCAAACCGGTTTTGGCTGTAGAATATTTTTTAAACTAGAGTAAAATGAATATTTCTAAAGTAGCTACACAGAACTAAAGGTATTTTGTTCTAGATTATTGTATATAATCTCTAATTTTATATGAAAAGCACTACATAAAATGTTTTTATTAGTAACACACATTGTATGGACATCATACAATATACTATATTTTACTCATATGTTCCCATGAGTGCCTTTAATTTTGATTAAATTACCTTGGCATGGACCCCACCCCCTGTAGTCTTTTTTTTTCCTTTTCAAAATAAGTGACTTTAATGGAGAGAAGGGATAGGGAGGAGGTGGTTGTAGCCAGTCAACACCATTCTTTATAGAAGACAAAGGTGTGAATTGAAAGGTCTCACCTGACTTACCATCTTAATTCACTATTTCAGTGGCTTGTAAGATGAAATGGAACGTTAGGATATATTGGGTATGTGGAGAGTTAAGGATAGGCATGGAAGGGGCCAAGAGAAATACTTTGTTTAAGGATATTTAGATAGCTACATAGAGCATTTTTAGGATCTGGGAACCTCACTGTACTCCCGACAGTCTTAAAGTCTAAAAACCCCCCCACCCCAAATCCAGTTTTATTATAAAAATATGTATTTGTTGTAATTGGAAAAACATGGACCAAAGCAACATTCTACCAATAATAGCCTGTTATCAAATTAATATTCTCTTTAGACACTTGTAAGGAAAAAATGCTAGTTAACATTTCTGCTGACTGATAAATATACATTGAGTGGCCAGATTATTATGATCTCTGAATACATAATAATCTGGCCATTCTGTATTTGTTTTTGTTTTTTTTAAATATATTTTATTGATTTTTTACAGAGAGGAAGGGAGAGAGATAGAGAGCTAGAAACGTCGATGAGAGAGAAACATCAACCAACGTACATGCCCCTGACCGGAATCGAACCTGGAACCTTTCAGTCCTCGGACCGACGCTCTACCACTGAGCCAAACCGGTTTCGGCCACTCAGTGTATTTGTATCTCAAATGGGTACCAGAAGTATTCTAGACTTTTGCTGGAGATCAACCACCTATTTTTCCTAAGCTTTCTATCAGCCAGTACAAAGGGAAAAACTGATCAGGTGCACGATTTATAGTATCTTTGATATCAAATAAATGGGGTACTCAAGAGAAGTACACTGAGTGGCCAGATTATTATGTGTTCAGAGATCATCATAATCTGGCCACTCAGTGTATATCTATAGGTTGATATTCAGGCCATTTTAGGGGATAGTGTATAAGCTTCTTAACAGTTATACTCTTCCTTGAACTTCCTGGGAAAACCCACTATTATAAGAACTGTGACAAAGATTGGGGAGCCCCAAAGCTGCCACCATTCCCTATTTTGTTCACATTATCACAAAGCAGGAAAAAATCGTGGCAGTCATTCCTGGCTCCATAATACAGTATAATCTAGGACAATGGTCGGCAAACTCACTAGATAACAGAGCCAAATATCAATAGTACGATTGAAATTTCTTTTGAGAGCCAAATTTTTTAAACTTCTTCTAATGCCACTTCTTCAGAATAGACTCCCCCAGGCCGCGGTATTTTGTGGAAGAACCACACTCGGGGCCAAAGAGCTGCATGTGGCTCTTAAGCCGCAGTTTGCCGACCACAAGTCTAGGAGAAACAGCATTTAATAGCTCTCTCATTCCAGCATTCCACAGACAAGATGCCACAGGTAAAGGCACTCGCATTCATCAAGTTACCGTACTTGGGCCAAAAATGTAGTGGGGGGACATGGGAGAAGGCTCTTTTCCTCACAAATCATATCCTGTCAAAGAACTCCCCCTACTGTCCATTTCTCATACAGCAGAGCATGTCTCCTTTCCCAGGGAGGCCTGTCTATTTCTTTGACCTCAGAATACAGATCAAATCTCTTCCTCTATGCCTGGTACAGGTCGGATACAGTGCCTGGTCTGTATCCTGTACACTGTAACTTATAAACACTGGCCTCAAACAGACCAAGCTTATTTCTGGCCCAGAGCTCTTGCACTTGCTGTGACTTCTGCTTGGAACATTCTTCTCCTAGGTCTTCCCAAAGCTCCCTCATTGCTTATAGCTCAGCTCAGATGCCTTTTTCTAGAGAGGCCTTCCCTGTCCTACAGCACTCCCACCACTCTCTACCCCGCTACCCTAAGTAATGTATCTGTGGCACTTTTTTCTGTGTCTGTCCTCACTCCTTAAGGGAGCACCTTTGTCTGTCTGATTCACCAGTGTCCTCCTGGACCTGTCACGAAGTTGGAATTAAGTTTATTGAGTGAACGAATATCGTCATTCTCTTGTCTGGACCAGAGGTTCTTAACCTGTGGTGCAAAGGTTTCAAATCATTTCCTCCCCATCCTGCTCCCAGCTGTAAGTGAAATTAAGGTTTTGAGAATATTTAGAAATAGATAAATATTTGGGGTGTGTCTGAGAAATGTTTGGGAAAGCATGTACAATATTTTCCAGATTCTCAAAGGAATCAAACCCAAAATGTTCATTACCACTGGTATAGAATTTTCATTTATATAGCACTTATTCATACATGTAATTCTTATACTTATAGAGCTACGTAGTATTAAAGTGATTATTTCTACCTCATAAATAAGGACACTGAGGTGCAGAGAGGTTAAACATATTATCAGACTTCACACAGCCAGTCAATGCAGTCAATGGTGGAATTGCCACAAATGCGTTCTTTTGGACTCAAGATCCCATCCGTGCTCTTTTACCTATATCCCTGGGCTAGTAAGTTTGTATTCTTTCATTTTTTTGTTAATCCTTGACCAAGGATAATTTTTCTATTGGTTTTTAGAGTGGGAGGCAGGGGGAGAGAGAAAGAGAGAAACATCGATGTGAAAAGGACACATCGATCAGGTGTCTCGTACACTTGCCCCAACCTGGACGTGGGCTCAATCTGTAACCAGGTATATGCCCTCAACTGGGATTCGAACCCACAGTCCTTTCTGCAAGGACCAATGCTCTACCACTAAGCCACACTAACCAGGGCTGCATTCATTCTTTCTGACTTTCAAAGGCACCAAACATAAACTTTTCTAAGAACCTCCTTATTGGAACTTGCTTATTAAGACTGCCTTAACATTTCCAGTGGGGAAAATATCAACTAAATCAAGGCAGTTTTCAAACAAAAACATTTTTTAATATTGTTTATTTATTCTTTAGAGAGAGAGGGAGAGAGTGTATATGCATATTTGTGAGAGAGACAGACAGACATCATGAGAAACATCAATTGGCTGCCTCCTACACACTCTCCTTTGGGGTTAGAGTCTGCAACCAGGAATCAAACCAGTGACCTCGCTGTGCATGGGATGTTACTCAACCAACTGAGCCACACTGGCTAGTGCATGCAATATTTTAATGTATAAACCAAGAAGTTCAAAATAGTTTTCTAAGAGGCTAAGTAGAGTATAACTAGGAAAATATTAGATTTGCATGAATAAATATAGCACACCCTAAATCTGAAGGAAAACCATGTTGAGATCTCTACTGTTTATATTTTATCTATTATTTTAATTAGGATACATAATTGAACCATTTATACTTAAAAAGCAATTTAATTTTTAAAAATCAGTTTTTCCAGGAAAGAAAAATCTAGTCTTAATCTCTCTTCTACTCATGTGATTTTCAAAAAGGGGCGGGAGAACTTTATCTTGAAAATGACTACAAAATGTTTAAAGTGTGTGAATTTGGCAGCATGAGATATATATTTTTTAGAAAGAATACAACCAAACACTGGCCTCACATGAGCTTGTTTTATTAACCTCAAGAAGTTATACAGAATATGATCTGTATTCTGGGAGGATACAGATCAATGAGACTTTTCCATTCCTTACCAGGATCTATAATTAAAGGCCTAATCCTTTATCTTAAGGGGGAAAGGTCTCCTTTTATTGAATTAGTTGCTTTCCTTCCCCTTAAAATCTATAAGGTTAATATGTTTTGTAAAAATAAATAAATAAATAAATAAATAAAATTCATCTGCCAGACTTGGGTGTCATCCTTACATTTTAATGCATTTAAAAACATCTAAGCAGCCGAAACAGGTTTGGCTCAATGGATAGAGCGTCTGCTTGGGGACTGAAGGGCCCCGGGTTCGATTCCGGTCAAGGGCATGTACCTTGGTTGCGGGCATATCCCCAGTAGGGGGTGTGCAAGAGACAGCTGATCGATGACTCTCTCTCATCGATGTTTCTAACTCTTTATCTCTTTCCCTTCCTATCTGTACAAAATCAATAAAATATATTAAAAAAACAAAAACAAAAACATCTAAGCAACAAATCTTGCCAGCATTCAGAGTCCTACTACCTTGAGTACACTCTCTACTGCTCAGGCAGCCACATGCACCAGGTGGCGCTATGTAGGCCCAACTCCAAGTACAGTGTAGGTGGCAAACAGGGCAAACAAGACAACCATATTGAAGACCTTGGCAGTTGTGGAAGGAAGATGGATGAATTCACCAGTTCCCAGATGGGCCTTCAGCTAGCAGTAGCCGCATAGTGATAGTAGAAAGCAACAACCAATGTATCCAGTTTTATCCAGTGAAGGCCAATTCAAGTTCTACTTCGGGGTCCGAGGGCACTCACCTTGGCAGTTTAGCACTCACAGGTGTGGCAGTGGACACCAGTGGAGACATTTTTGTGGCAAACAATACCATTGGGTCAGCATCCTTTTCCCTGAGGGCAAGTTCAAGACCAAGATCAGAGTGCAAAGTCTCCTGGGCTCCAAAGGAGTGAACCTAGACCTGGATAGACATATTGTGGTTGACAAGACAACATGTCTTCACCTTCCAGCCCAATGACAAGCTGGTTGGCCATCTTGGGGGATTTGGGGCCACAGATGGCTGGGCCTCATTTTGTGGTTGTGAATGACAAGGAGACTGTAGTGATGGGTTTACATAATCACTCATTGAAATATACAGTGCCAATAGCGTTCCCCTTCACGTCTGGTTTCCATGGCAAGGGCAATAGCCAACTGTGGCCTATAGTGGGAACATCCTGTAGCTTACCTGGGCAACAGTCACATCTAGGTATTCAGGAGCTCTGGCTCCTTTCTGTCCTATATCAACACATCTGCAGAGCCATAGGGCCTGGTACTGACTTCGCTGGGAACTTCTTTAAGACTTATGCTGTCTCCAGTAGCTCTGCCTCGCTCATAGGATAGACCCAATATGACTAGACAAGAGGGTATGGCCAAAAGGTGAGCCAGCCCTGGCATCACTAAATGTGGGCTGTGGACATTGGTGCACCAGTGCTTTCCTCTTCAGCACCCCCCAAACCCAGGTTGCAACTTATTTTATTCTTGCTTTGGTGACTGGGTGGTCCTGGACTGTGGTCCCAATGATGTGTACAGAGCTCCCCATTACACACCTCCTGTCCACTCAGTCTGCTGCCCACACCCAAGCCTGGAGCCAGGACAGCCTTACTCCAGAGCAAAAGCACCTCTGGTTTCCCAGGTTAAATAAATGTGCTCACACAAAAAAGAACCAAATGCAGGATAATACATATTTTAAGAGTGCATTTTGCATTTAGAATTACTTCATCAAAAGATTTGTCAGGGCCTCCACTAGGAATTTCCTGATGGCTTTCTATTACATGTGTATCCTATATAATAAAAGGCTAATATGCAAATCAACCAAATGGCAGAACAACCAGTCACTATGATGTGCACTGACCACCAGGGGGTAGTCGCTGAATGCCATAGCTGCCCCCTAGTGGCCAGTGCACTCCCAAAGAGGAAGCACCACTCAGCCAGAAGCCAGACTCACAGCTGGAAAGCACAGCGGTGGTGGTGGGAGGCTCTCCTTTCGCTGAGGCAGCAGTAAGGATGTACAACTGCCAGACATCTCTGAAGGGCTCCCAGACTGTGAGAGGGTGCAGTGGACACCTCTAGGCTAAGGGACACCTCCCTTCTGCCCCCCAGTGCATGAATTTCATGCACCAGGTCTCTAGTTTATAAAGAAAACCCTATAGATTATTGCCCAAGTTTATTCTTAGGCAACCTCCATGTTTCAAAGATCTATAATCAAATTCCAGACAGGAGGGGAGGAGGAATCCAGAGCCTAGTGGAAGAACTACTTCTGGTTTATAATTGCCAGAGTGAGAACACTGGGTTATTCCTAAACTATAATTGATGCTAGCATCTCAGAATCCCACCCACTGCCAGGGTCAAAGATTGCTGTTATACAGGAAGGATAGTCTGCCAACTCCCTTGATTTAAAATAAACCCTGAGTAGAGATCTGGCAAATAAGGGTTGTGATATTGGAAAGACGAATGGTTTTTGGCTAGCAGCTATAAACATTTAGCTAAGGGCTGATAAGGACCTATGATCTTTTCCAATCACCAACTTTTTCTACTTTAAATGGAATGTAATTCATTTTGTTCAAGGATGAAAGAAATTTACTTCTGCTGACATTTGGACTTACCCTTCTTCAGAAGTCTAGGTATTTCATACTAGATCACTGAGAGTACAAAATATTTTAAGATAGATGAGCATTTTCCCCCCTACAAATCAAAAGCCCTGTATCCACATTTGGTGTCTTTATTATTTCTTTTAAAAATATTTCATTGATTTTAGAGAAGGAGAGGGCTAGAGATAGAAATATCCAGCAGCATGCCCCCTACTAGGGATTGAGCCCACAACTGGGGCATGTACCCTGACAAGAATCCAACTATGACCTCCAGGTTCATGGGCCACCGCTCAACCACTGAGCACACTGGCTGGGCTCTTTTATTATTTCTTGTATTGGATTTTGCTCAAATCAGATCTAATATCACTGAATAGTAAAAGAACATGCAGAAGCAACACAATAGTTATTTACCTTCCACCAAAAAGGTCCTACATGGCTTAGCTGGGTAAGAGTATTATAAGGACATGGCTTCGATCAAAGTCTTAAACTTCTTAATGACCTGTTTACTTTGCTTAGCTCTGTTCTACAATCATCTCTCAAACCTGTTTCTAAGTAAAGGAGGACCAGGTAACAAGGCTCAGGCAGAACCAACACCAGGGACAGGAAAACACAACTGAAACTGCTGTCAGTGGGAAAGGAGCCCATGCTCACACACACGGAACTTACAGGCATTCACTTGGTCTTTTCATTCATTCTGGTGGCAGGTGCTGAAATCACAGAAAGAAACCAGATATACATTGAGTGGCCATATAATGTCTCTGAGCATATAATAATCTAGCCACTCAGTGTATATTCTATATAATAAAAGGCTAATACGCAAATTGTCCCCTCGACTAGTTCGACCAGCAGGCAGGCAGGCCAACCCCTCAGAGCAGCTTCACCCAGAAGGAACTTGGTGGGTAGTCCAGTAATAGGCTCTCTAGAGGTGGCCCAAGCCAAAGTACAGAGTGACTGTCATTTTGAAGAGCAGATTGTAGTCTACTATAGTAGCTGGTGATACTTAAAAGACCAATATGAACCACTTCATCTTTTACTCCAAGTTTTGAAAAGTGGAAAGACTGCCCTGGCCAGTGTGGCTCCATTGGTTTGATTCATCAAGGCATATGTCAGGGTCTTGGGTTTGATCCCTGATAGGGGTCATGAAAGAGGTAGCTAATCTATGTTCTGCTCTCACATCGATGTTTCTTTCTCCCTTCCTCTCTGTGAAAAAACAATAAAAATATATTTTTTTAAAGTGAGAGGACTCAGCAACAATAAGCACTGGGGAACCTGTACCATTGCATTAAGATCGCAACAATTCTTTTATCTTACTGCTCATTTTTAGTGTCAAACAAATTCCTGGTCCTATGACTAAAGATAAATAAGAAAAGGTTTGTAACTTAAGTGTTATGACAGGACTTATTCCTGTAAGATATACAGGAGACCTGGTCTACATGAGCCAAATTACTACTCAAGTTTTTAAAAAAATATATTTTATTGATTTTTTACAGAGAGAAAGGGAGATAGAGAACTAGAAACGTCGATGAGAGAGAAACATCGACCAGCTGCCTCTTGCACACCCCCTACCAGGGATGTGCCCGCAACCAATGTACATGCCCTTGACTGGAATCGAACCTGGGACCTTTCAGTCCTCAGACTGAGGCTCTACCACTGAGCCAAACTGGTTTCGGCTACTACTCAAGTTTTAAATCGTGAATTTATAACAAGAGAAAAGTGAAGTGAAAAGCTCTTTAGGAAACACCACAGTCATGCAACATCAGTGATGTCACAGGCCCATAAAAGATAAATTAATCATTTAAATGCGCATGTTACAATATTTAAGATTCCTCCTAAAATCCCTTCTCCAAATGTAAGTTGGACCAATAAAACAAAGCTTTGAAGTCAAGTTAGACACCATCGCCACCTTGTGTTTAACAGACTTCATTGCACACACATTATTGCCCCCAAAAAATCACATGTAGGGATTCAACAATTACAGAATATAGCTTTATTTATAGAATCTTACAAACAAAACATTTAAAATCCATAACTTAAGTTATTTTCTTTTCTAATTTATTGTCATAACTCCTGAGTTATTTTTTAAAAATACTGTGATGGAACTATAAAAGGAAATAAGGAACAATAAAAACCTAACCACTCTTGGAAAAAATCAGACTTTTCGTTTTTAAGCAGATTTCCAGCATATTACCATGTGTTTGGAAGAAGACTTACTAAAAACAGGTCATATGACACCCAAACAGAGGCCTTTTTAAAAATCCAGGGTGATGGATCAATGAAGGAGAAAGCTCCAAGTTGACACTAGACACAAAAGGCCCCTTCGGAGGCAAAGAAGGGAGGCAACCTGCATGGCAGGGCGAGAGTGAGAGGCGACAGGACCCCTGGTTCACTGACAGACTTTCCTTGCTATGGTTAATACGAGCTGGTCCATCCGGGGAGGGAAGGGGATAATGTGAATGCCAGGGATGCAAATGACCTCAAAACTCACTAGCCCTCAGCCTTCTAATATATACAAATGCTTTCAAAACAGCAAATTCAACAGAAGTCCAAAAGAAGTCGCCACATTTTCAACTCACGAGGCAGGTCTGTTGCCAATCGCAACATGCAATCAGTTGCACGCTTTGAGTGTTTTCTCCCTTTCTATCGATAAGTGCCAGCCGGGACTGGCCTCTAGAAGAGTTACAGTTTAAAGAGAATTTCCTTTTGAGGCAGCTGTCTATGAAAGGAAGGTTCTTAATACACATGTGCACAGACAGGGTAAGCACCTTACTACTTCAAATTTTTTTTTTAATTTGTTAAACACTATAGTTTTGAGCTCTTCTAAAACTAGGAACCCATTAACCCTAACTAATTTACTCCAAGAAGAATGGTATTTGTAAGGAATGATCTATAGGGAATGCTAAAATTAGACATTTAATGCATCAATGTGAATTAAGGAAAGCAAAATCTCAAAGTTTGAATGCTATTTTCTGCTAACTCCTGAAAGCACGTTGAGAAAGATGAAACAGAAAAGACAAAGAATCAGTAACAATAACAATGATAACATAAAGTTAGATTTCCAACATTCAAGGAATTGGTTCTTTGGTAAAACTGGACCATAAACCTATCAGGAGACAGACCTGATATTTAATCTAGGATCTTGGTAACTGTTTTCCTTCTTCTTTAGCCCATTCTCAGGTCAACAGGCTAGAGGAGGAGGAGAAACTTCTAAAGTATCACCAGCAGTTTTCCTGCTCATGTTCTTTTCAAGAATATTCCTGGTTTGGGGGATGTTTTCAAAGAAGAAAAAGAACAAAACAAAATAGAGGCTACTTGTAATTCCTGTAGAGTGGGAGGTTTTTCTGGGTAGTAGAGAAAAACCTCCAGGTGCTGGCAATGAACCAGCAATTGTCAGTCATGCACACGAATCAGTTTGCAAACACAACCCCTGGGCTGCAACTGTGGGCACCACTAAGAAAGGCTTCTGGAGAGACGGGCTCCCCAAAGTGGCTAAAGAGTCTCACATTATCAATATGATAATAATAAATCAATTCACCTAGTGAACCTGGAGATTAGCTCCCCTTGAAGCCAGGGTTCTGAGAAGAGGGCTCCACAGTGCCGAGGCTCGCGACAAGTCTATCAATCCATTCTCTGCAGAGAGCGAGAGCAATTAATATCAATGCAGGACTTGCCCTTTCTTGTGTGGGGTGAGGGAGGGAGGGTGTAGACAGTGCCCGTTAAAACCCATTCACAGCTTACTCCGTGGGGCCTCAGTTCTGCACTCATCTGCGATGCCCAACCAAAGTTGTGGACCTTACATCTCTCTTATTAGTGCAATTAGCAAATCCTAAACCGTGTCTGCACTGATTCCTCTCCGGGACCCTGACTGAAGCTGCTCTGATTCCATAAGACATGTGGGCCAGGGGAGGAAAACTGTGCAGTCTCCCCTCTAACACCAGCATCGTGAATGTGCTCAGAATGTGCTTCTAGGGAGGCAGTTACGATGGGAGAGGGGAAGAGGAGGTGGAAATCACAGCAAACCAGTGGATTTGTTGCAGGCCTTCCTTCTCCGCCCTTCTTACTAGAGTTACTCTGAAAGAGGGAGGTCCAGGTACCTGAACCAACACGTTAGCTCTGCCAGACGGCCAGGTACACCAGGTGCAGCCACAAAAAGAGCATTCCAGCAGCTGGGCATAAGCAGCTGTCTGAACAGGACACACACCAAGGTGACCTCGCCTCCCTCCCGCCCTACTCTTGTCCCAACTTTCTGTTCTCTTTGAGAGAAGAGGCAACTGAAACTGATTAAAAAACAGAAACTCCTGTCTCCTGTACCTTTTCTGTTAAAAAAAAAAATAGGACTATATTTACTTAAAAATGGGTCATCTTGAGGTCCAGGATACACAGATTCATAGCCCCGAACCCACAGATTCACTTCCTGATATTTCTAACCAGGTTATAACTAAGTTTCTGCATTGGGGCAAAGGACCCCAAATCTCTCAGCACTGGTTCAAAGAGCAAGGGGCCAGGGTAACCAGAGGGAAAAATGAGGCTTGTCGGCTAAGCTGCATTCAGGTTCCAGAGTCACTCTGAGAAGGAGGGAGAAGAAAGGAGAGAGGTGCCACCTGGAGACTAGTACCAGGCAGCTTATTATTAATACAGAGCATTTAAAAAACAATTGACATTTACGTGGAGAAATATAGTCCGTGTCACAGTTTTTAACAGAACTGCCTCTCCCGATGCCGCGTCTGAGGGCTAAGGGGCCAACCGTCAGTTTTCCGGGTTCCTGCAGGGCCCTAGCCGATCTGGATCTGTCCTGAATACATGGTGAGGAGCAGCATGATGGCAAAGCCAGTCAAGAGACCCAGGTTCTGGATGACAAAGGGGACCAGAACGCTGCCCTTCTTCTCATCCTCCAGGGCGACTTCATTCATCTCAGGGAACTGAGAAAGGAGGAAAAAAACAAGAGAGCTGCAGTTTCATTCCTAACTTTGTACATCCAGGAGAATTCATTACAATGTCAATATTATATCTAATAACTTATACTTACTCTATTAATATTGTTAATATAGCAATAGTAACAATCCACCTAATAAAAGAGTAACATGCTAATTGACCATACTTTTGTGATGCCCACCCGCCAATCAGGAGTGAGTATGCAAATTAACCCAACAAAGATGATGGGTTAATTTGCATATGCAGGTGCCAAGTGTCTGGGGGCAGGGCGGGACGCAGGCATTCTTGCTCTGCCCCGGGCCTCTGGGCAGCCAGAAAGGTGGTTCCAGACAGAGTGAAGGCAGTGCTGGCAGCCAGGGATAGGAAGGCCCATTTTGGCATGAATCTTTGTGCATTAGGCTTCTAGTTAGTATATAACGTGACTATTATAATAGCTATTATTAATACGGAGTGAAAATTATATAACATATAATCCTATATAATAAAAGCCTAATATGCAAATTGTCCCCTCAAGCAGGAAGCTGACAGGGAGGTTGACCGCTCACTATGACATGCGTTGACCACCAGGGGGCAGCGCGGAACATGGCAGGCGTCAACAATGTGGTACTGGTAGCAGGTGGCATGGAGGCACTGCAGGCCCTAATGGGCCCCAACGAGAGCAGGACCGCAGTGGGATGGTGGAGCAGGTGAGTGGGCAGCACCAGACCAAGGCGGGTGAGAGCGGGGGCCTGGTCCAGATCGATCGTCCCACAGATGGTGACCAGCAGCAGCAGCGGGGGATGGGGCCGCTGCCTGGCTCCCAGGTGCTGAGGAGCTGGGCAGGGGCATGATGACTCAGGCGAAGGGAGAACATGTGGGGCCCCAGGGGTCCAGATGTCAGCTGGGACCTGCCCTTCCACACCATACACTCGTGCTTCGATTGCCACACACACACACACCCCAATTGGTTTACAAAGAAAATTAATAGCCATAGCCTCTGGAACTTGAATGTAAAAGCCTTTCTCTAAGGTAGGGGTGTCGAACTCAATCAGAGAAGGGGGCAAAATCTAAAATCCAGCCTATATCTCGGGCCGAATGGTTTACTGAACAGTCATAAACTGTCATTGTGATGGAAACGCAGCGGAGTGCAGTGATGACAGCGCGGTGCGGGCCACATTGCAAGGCCTGGCGGGACGGATTTGGCCTGCGGGCCTTGTGTTTGACACATGTGCTCTAAGGCTATTACATTATAGCGGACCCTTGAAAATGGGGCTAAGAGGTGCTGACCCTCTTGCATTTGAAAATCCACGAGTAACTTGACTCTCACAAAACTAATCTCTCCCTCAATATCATAGGAGATTGATTCCAGGACCCCCACCACACCACGGACACCAAGATCCGTGGACACTCAAGGCCACTATATAAAATGGCTTAGAATAAAGCCCATTGTAGGCCCTCCACATCCATGGATTCCCAACCACAGACTGAAAGCAGTATAGGTTTTTACCGAAAAATAAATAAACAAACAAAAAAACAAATAAATAAATAAATAAAATTAATGTACGAATGGACCTGCACAGTTCAAATTTTTGTTTAACAAGGGTCAACCATACTTTACATCTACTGAGGTAAAACAAAATACGACACGTGCATGTCGTCCTGGATGTGATTAGGTGCTGGCTAAAAATAACTGCTTTGATAAAAATAAACTTTTTATTGTGATCCTTAAAAACACTTGCAGAGAGACATAGAGAGAGAAAAATATCGACCAGCTGCTTCCTGCACACCCTCCACTGGGGATGTGCCCGCAACCAATGTACATGCCCTTGACTGGAATCGAACCTGGGACCTTTCAGTCCGCAGACAGACGCTCTATCCACTGGAGCCAAACCGGTTTCGGCAAAAAGATATATTTTGCTATCAAATGTTATTGTCTCTTCTTAGGGAAACTGAGCAACTATGCAAGGGGCCAGAGTTTGGAGCTTTGACTCAAGGCCTCTCCCCGCTGGTCAGCAAGGCAGGCAACAAGGAGACCTTCAAATTCAAGTACTGCAAAAAACCCCTCACTGCGGGAAGGGCTCCCCATAGGAAAGGAGACTCTAAAATGTCTCCATGGCGAGGCTGGATCTTGGTGGTCTACTCTTATCATCTCTCAAAAATATTATTTTCAGCCCTGGACAGTGTGCAGGAGGCAACCAATTGATGTTTCTTTCTCTCTCGCCCCCTCTCTCCTTACTTCCACTTTGTCTCAAATTCATGGAGAAATATTGTGGGGCTAGGATTAATAACAACAATGATTTATTTTCAAAAGCTATAGAAAACAATTCACACAAATATGTTAATGAAAATGACACAGCTGAAACCGGTTTGGCTCAGTGGATAGAGCGTCGGCTTGGGGACTGAAAGGTCCCAGGTTCGATTCCGGTCAAGGGCATGTACCTTGGTTGCGGGCATATCCCCAATGTGGGGTGTGCAAGAGGCAGCTGATCGATGACTCTCTCTCATCGATGTTTCTGACTCTCTATCTCTCTCCCTTCCTCTCTGTACAAAATCAATAAAATATATATATAAAAAAAAGTCACAAAAAAAAGGTTAGTTATATAAAACATGTGAAAATCAGGTATTTCACTAGCAAACTCAAAACTACTTAAATTGCCACACCAGATGTTAATGGGAATGGTACAATGTATACATCTAGACACTGCTCATAATGCTTTCCATTGACCTATATGTATCTATCCTATAATATTCCCATTTTTAGGGAAGGACCCTGGAGCTGAGTTTAGTAATCATTTTCTTTCTTTTTTTTAAAAAATTATGTTTTTATGGATATTTTACAGAGAGGAAGGGAAAGTGATAGTTAGAAACACGGATGAGAGAGAAACACAGATCAGCTGCTTCCTGCAAGGCCCCCACTGAGGATCAAGCCTGCAACCAAAGTACATGCCCCTGACCAGACTCGAACTCAAGACCCTTAAGTCTGCAGGCCGATGCTCTATCCACTGAGTCAAACCGATTAAAGCAGTAATCATTTTCTTTAAGGACATATGTTAATGGAAACAAGCTCTTTGTTATTTAAAATCTTAAATCCCTTTAAAAACATTGAACTGTACACTTGAAGTGGGTGAACTGTGTGGTAGGAGAATAATTCTTCCTTATATAAAGCTGTCATAAGAAACTCCTAACTAATGTCTCCTTAGCTGTCCTCCCACCCAATGGCTTCAATAACCCAGTCCAGCTTTTGTGATTTTCTCATATAAACTATGCAGGACTTACCATATCAGCCAGAGAGATATACAAGAACATTCCTCCGGCCAGTGCGAAGATCCAGTTGGCAGAGAAGTGGCTGCCGGCCAGGATGCCGAAGGCCATGCCCACGTAACAGCAGCAGGCAGAAAGGAAGTTGAAGAAGAGCGCCTGCTGGAGGCTCATGCCAGCGTTGAGCAGGATGACGAAGTCTCCTAGGGAGGGAGGACAGGGGCGAGAGTGCGGAGTCACTCCAGGAGGTGAGAGCACGATGAGCACAGACTGCTTAAAGTGTGGGTCAAGTCTGCGTGGAAATCAAGACAGCCCCAGACATGAGATTACAGGGACAAGAGGGAGGCACCTCCCCCTTCGTGTCCAGGAATTACCACTGTTTGCAAAGCTGGCCATGTACGAGATCTCAGACAAGAGGCTGAAAACAATGCAAAACAGACAACCAACAAGCAACAGCCTCATTTCTCTCCTGATTGATGGCGAAACAGAGGAGCTTCCCTATTCAGAACCACAATGAATGGTATTTTCAGGAAACAAAAGTGAGACTGAGGGAAGTTGAGTAATTTTCCCACGGTCACAAGCCAATAAGTGGCAACACCAGGACTTGACCTTGAGTCTCTGAGCCTCCAAAGTCCAGACTTTTTACACTCCCTCCGATAAAACAAAAGGGCCTCCACAAAACTCCCAGCTCATCTACCTTCTTCCAACTCCAGACTTCTAATGCGCATCTCAGTCTCGGGAAGATTAACAGGATGTAACAAATAACTCACACCAAGCACTTAGAATAGGGTACGGCGTGAAGAAAGTCCCTTTCACTACTTTCCCTGCTACCTTCGTGATAAATCTAAGGCAGGCACTGTTACCTACCCTGACGTATAGGGGAGGAAACTGAGCCACAGTAACTATTAACTCAACTGTTCAGAATCGGTGGTTAGATTTTCCCCTCGCATGAAGAATGTATTAGTCAATTATAACAAGTGTTTAGAAGTTGGGGAGGAGTCAGCGGTAAGAAGGGTGCTCGTGCCAATCACGAGGCAGCCACGTGGAACGGGGCTGAGGGCCTATGCACTCACCCAGCTCGTGTGGGAACTCCTCACAGAGAATGGCCACCGAGGTGCTGATGCCTTGGAAAACGGACACAGTGAAGGAGGCCCCGATGGCCAGGCCGTCGATGAAATTGTGGAGGCCATCGCTCAGGGTGATCATCCAGGCCAGGGTGCCAATATCGGAGTAGCGAATGCCTTTCAGCCAGTAGCAGGCACTCTGGGAAGCTTGCAGGTCCTACGAGAAAGCCGGGCCCCACGGCGCCCAGGTCAGGGCGGACGGTGGACCTTCAGGGTAGGCCTGAATCACCACGGCCGTCATCCCTCACGGGCCCCCGCCCCGCGCTGACCCACCGACCTGGACGGACAGCGAGCCCACGATGACCTTCTGGTCCACCACGGGCACCTTGCCGTCCAGCTCGCTGCTGCAGTGCTGAGGAATCATGTGGTCCAGGTCCCCGTTCTGCAGCTTTTCCGTCACCCCCTCCTCCTGGTCCTTCTTAGAGGGAAGCGCCTCGGAGGCATAGTGGCTGTGTCCATGATGATGCTGGAGGGACCACAAGGAGTGGTGAGCACAACACTCGCCAAGACCTTAAAGCTTCCTGCGACCTGCTCTGAGTCAGCGCTCTGGGCACTGGGAAAACCCCGTTCCCACCACCAGAACAATCACAAGCAGGCGACACCCACAGGAACCCAGCGTGTTAGAGCTGAACCACGGTGAATGCAAGGGCCTGGCACAGGACAGATACCAAAGCAGTGACTGCAGGGCCCACTCATTCCAGAGAGGCAGCTCTGCTCAAAATCTTAGAGCTTCTCCTCTGCAACGGCTAATTTTATTCAATTCAGCAACTATGTGGGGATTAACTACATAGCAGGCACTGAAGGCGTCTTTCTGGATCTATACTGTAATAATCCGCATTATTTCTTTGGGGTCATTTTTCATACACAGTGCATGCTCATTTCCAGCCCCTCCTTTGTCTCCTAAAGGTATAAAAGCACGTGAAAGAAATAATTTAGCATAAAGCAGAGGGAATAAACTACTGCCTAGTAAAAGGCACACAGGCCAGATCTGGTTTCTGGTCTGCCTGTGCCACCTGCTATTAACCCCATGTGGCGAAACGGGGCGTCCACTCATTAAACTTGTGAACTCTGCTGCCCCTCCCACCCCAGGCCGCTGCAGGGGTGCTGAGGACCCGCCACCGCGACACGCAGCATTTCGGAGGCAGGTGCTTGCCCCGGGAGCACCTCTTTGACCAACAACCGGGCCTCACCTCATTTTTCTGCTTAAGGAGCATTTTCAAGATCTTCTCTGTGAAAAAGAAAAGGTAGAAACCCCCAAACACCACTGCAGACTTGGAGACGTAATGATCCTTCAGAGGGTCGAAACCAAAGGCCTGTGGACCCAAATGAAGAAAATAAGTTTAAGAAAAGAAGCACTCTCCAGGGTCCCCTCTCATCTCTCACCTTCTCCCTGGTTGAGTGGAGGGAGACAAGCGCAATGGGACAGCTGGCATCCGTCCGTCCATCCCTCTGCAGCGGAAGCTAACTCATGGTTCCCGACTGTCCCTCCTCGGTTCTCTCTAGCTTACTTTCTGATGCAAAAGACAGATCGTCTTCAGAATAGTGCTGTCAGGCAGAACAGCCTGGAGAGTTTTCTGCTTTTAATGAGGGCTCTTACCCCATTTCTCCGTTTGCTAGACTCTGCCTGCAAATCCCATATTTAAAGAGAAGACGATGGTGTTCACTTTCCCCGCTACTCCATGTCCCTGCGTGACCTGCCCGTAGACACAACGGGAGGTGGTGTAATTACAGTTTCTAAAATGGGACATCCACTCCCCAGTCAAATAGCAAGGATTGCGGCAGCTTCCCGACCACAGACCTCCCAGCGACCACAAGGCCGAGAAAGCAGACTGTGTCAATTTTGGGGTTCTGTTTTGAGTCCTTTCTGGAAACTATACTTATTTTGGGGGGGTGGAATCCATTGGGGAGTAGACCGGAGTAGAAATCAAGATAATTCCTTTCTCAAGGATGCCCCTGGCAGTGGGGCCTTGGGAAAGAGACGGGTGACCTGCTCCTCAGTTTTGACAGGTAGCTGCCCCTTTAAGGGAATAAATGCCCTCCTTCTCATGAAGAGAATAAACTGCAGCCTTTTCATGAATGGGTCCAAGATAAAAGTGATCGTAAGAACCAGGAACTCTGGGCTGCCTACACGGTAGCTGTTTTTCCTTTCTGCTTTTAAGGGACAAAATGCAATCTCTACCCAGTTATTAGCTTTCTAAGTGACATCAAGGTCCAATTCTAGAGTAGAAAGAACACATTTGGATCAACTTTCCAGGACAGTTAAATCATCTTAGGGAAAGTGGGGTAAAAAGAGGCAACAACGTTCCCCACGGAAGCCAGGGCGCTGGCAGAGGGCAGAGCACGGCTCCAGGAGCCGCGAGCCTGGCTTCTGGGATAGGGGCTCAGTCCGGGTCGGATTCCTCAGCTGGTAAACGAGTAAGACATTACTCGTTCTCTAGATATTCCAGAAGTTTCTCTCAGGATCAACTGAGAAAACACAGAACCACATCTCGGAAAACAAAACGTTAGGAGAAGCATGTGGCGGCATCTCTGTGCTCCCCTTCCCTGCCCAGGCCTGTCAGACCACCTGGGGTGAACGCCTGTGCTGCCGTCAGCAGCGGGTCTGCTGCCAATGACTTCCAGCCAGACGAAGCTTCTCCGGGGCCGCTGCCAAACCCTCCGAGTCTGAGCTCCCTGCTCCTCGGGGAGGGTTTTCTCACTAACCCGGGCCCATGTGGCACCAGACTTTCTATTCGGATGACTACCTTTGCCTCAGAACGCCCTACGGAGGACAGATCTTTTTATCGTGACCTATGGATTCTGTTGAATATCGGGTCTAGTAATAATTAATGTCGTTTTTAAAAATTCGTTTAAAATCTTGCTTGGCGTTGACTTGTATTGACATAACCTTCAAACACGTGGTATCTACAGAACGTGTGAAGTGCAATTAACAAGTTTTGCTTGAAAAAGTTTGTGTTTGCTTTGGTTTTTGTTGCAAAACTAGGGCTAAGAAGATGGTGGATGAAGAGCATATTCGGCACTGCATGCTTTACGAGTTCCAATTAGGAAGAAAAGCAAGTGAGGCTGCAAAACACATCTGTAGTGCTCTTGGTCAAGATGCAGTTAGCGCCAGAAAATGCCAGCGTTGGTTTGAGAAATTTCGCAAGGGAAATTTTTCGTTAGATGACAAGAGTGGTCGAGGCCGTGTGTCCAATTTTGATCAAGAAGCTCTTCAAGCTCTTTTGGTGCAAAATCCTCAAATTACCCAACAAGAGCTTGCGACAACTTTAAATTGTTCACAAAAAACAATTTCCAATCAATTGCGTGCACTTGGCAAAGTCCAAAAGTTTGGAAAATGGGTTCCTCATGAGTTGACCGACAACAACCATAATCAAAGAGTCACAATTTGCAGTTCGCTCCTCTCTCGTCAAAACCGTTTGCCGTTTTTAGAGCAAATTGTTACCGGAGATGAAGAATGGGGGCTGTATGTTAATTTGAAAAGGCGGCCTCAATGGTTGGACAAAAATGAGGCTCCGCAGCCCACGCCAAAACCTGACTTGCATGCGAAAAAAGTGATGTTGTGTGTTTGGTGGAATTTTAAAGGAATTCTTCATTATGAATTTTTACCATCTACCCAAACCATTACAAGTGCAGTGTATAGTGCCCAATTGGAAAGGTTAGCCCAAGCTTTAAGAGAAAAAGAACTTGTGCTAATTAATCGGAAGGGCGTAATTCTTCACCATGATAACGCACGACTGCATACTGCAAGAATCACTGCTGAAAAACTGCGCCAGTTGGAATGGGAAGTTCTCCCTCAATCTGCATATTCTCCTGATATTGCCCCTTCCGATTACCATTTGTTTCGTTCTTTGCAAAACTTTCTTCTTGGAAAAAAATTTAATAATGAAGAATGCCTCAAAAATGCATTGACCGAATTTTTTGCATCAAAATCACAAGAATTTTACAACAAAGGGATTAAAATGCTTCCTGAGCGTTGGGCACAAGTAGTAGAAAACAACGGCAACTATATTGTTGATTAAATTTTGTTGTATTGTTTAAATAAATTAGATTTAAAAAAGTATTAGAAAACGACATTAATTATTACTAGACCTAATATTTGTTTGTTGTGTGCCAGAGCCATAAATCAGGAGCTGTAAGTGATCTAACTGCACTACACCTTTTCACCAACAGTTAGCGCTTTCGAGGCATCAGGCACCTGATAAACATTAAGTCACCTGACCCTCATGCCATCATCAATCAGGCCCATTTCACATAGTGAGGGAATAAGACAGAGGGTAAGTGGCTTGCCAGGAGTCACACAACTTGTCAACAGGGAAGCTGGATTGGAACCAGCTCTGAATCCTGTTCCACATTAAATCCTAGCTCTGCCCCGGTCTTCGCTTCACCTTCCTGAAGGAAAGCACCTCCTTTCTCTGCCTTCCATGGAACCGGAGGGTCCTCCCACGGTGCCCGCTGCCCCCAGGAGACAGTGTGCTCCTGGGTGCGGGGCCCTGGCTCGCCATACCTCAGGGATGAGCTGGAAGAGGGCGTTGGAGTAGAGGGTGCCAATCGCCAGAGCTATGAAGTAGAGCAGCAGCCGCTTGTAAAAGGTCTTCTTCATAACGGGCACCACAACGGCCCCCAGGAGGGAGCAGAGGGAGATGATGGTCACGCAGAGGAGACCATAGCCCCACACTGCCATTGGGGGAGAGCCAGGCCCACCCAGGACAGGGAGAAGGGCAAGCACCCCATGGCATGATAATGCCATTTAGGGTGGAGGAAAGGTGGAGGGGATAGGGGAGCAACAAGGAAGGTTTTGGTGGAAATTAACAAAGGCAACAAAAGGAAAAAATCAGAGAGACAAGTAGGGAGGGAGAGAGAAATAGAAAATTTGTTAGTGATTCAAGTCTGATGAAATTTCCTTTAATTAATTCAGAAGAAGAGGAATTCAAGATGGCCTTGGAACTCTGTGGCCCCTGTCCCCACTGTCTTTGCTGGCCCAGGACACTCTTGCCAGCTGGTGTGACTGGCACAAGGGGTTGCCACCTGGGCATACAGCCATGGTATGTGCAGGTCTACCCAGAAGCTGCCAGGCAGACACTGGACCCAAGGCTCTCGTTAATAGAAAACAAGAGCGGCTGATGGCCGTGCTACCACCACATTGCTTTGTGTACCCAACCCATACTGCATGGGCACGTGCACCAACCCAGGGCACAAGATACAACCCAGTGCAGGGCCAAGCAATTGAGACGAATAAGGCCCAATGCCCGTGAATTCCAGATTCTTCTCAAGATGTATTTATTTGTTTGTTTGTTTTCCTTAGCTTTGAAAGGGATCCAGTGTGGAGAACAGAGTTCCAAGACCACCCTGCACAGCAAATATTTCCTCTACCATTTCCCAGCGTCACACACTCCAGCGTGGCCAGGATGAGGCCCTCCCGTGAGCCACAGGGCCGGAGCGTGTACAATTACTCTATTTCCATTCAACAGGTAACCGGGCATTTCATAAACTTAATTATTAAAAAAGTAATAAATCTGATTTCTGGAGCTGAAAAAAATAGCCCAAGATGAGGCCTCCCCTGTGAAGTGCTTCATGGGAATTTTGAGACAAAACCGAGATGGTTTAACTTAAACCAGACTTTCCTCCCATTGTCAAGAAGGAACAGATAGGGTCTGGGCACCGCATTTGGCATCTCTCCTGGCTGAGAGTCTTCTGAATGAGAAAGGCGGGGCGGCCCCTGACACAGGTTCTTTAAGAAAGACCATCCCCAAAGGAGGTCCCCGCATAATCACCTCCCCTGCCTGACCCTGCCTGAGCGACAAGGGGGGCAGACCGTCAACCTGGGTCTTATTTCTTTTAGCTCCTCAGTGGTCATAATTAAAAAACAAAATTAAACATTTCCAAACAGTCAAGTAAGGGCACCAGGAAGTCAGTCCTATCAGGAGAAAGTCAAGATGCAAGGCAGGAAGGATGGAGGGCCCCTGCTCCTTTATCTTGTAATCTTTGTTCTATGTTTGGCTCTCTGATACAAACTGGTCTAATTTAAAAAAAAAAAAAAAAGGAGGATCGCTCACCTTTTAGGCCAGTTCTACTTATTAGCCGGTAACCTCTTACTTCTGCCTCATTCCAGATGGATAATCTCTTGGTGGCCACCCCTGAGCCCTGTGAGGGCCTCTACTTAGAACAGAGCACCAAGGACATGGGTGGAGACCACCCTGCAACTGGGCTTAGGAAAGGCCCTGAGGCAGGAGGCTGAGACTCCCGATAGAGTAAACGCTAAGAGCCTTGCACCTGACATCACCTGATGGGGCCGGAGGACCCCTGGGTGCCCCAGGAGTGAGAGAAGGCCCTGGAGATCCAAAGTCAGACTCATTTGTGTCCCTTGATATGACGGAGAAGTTGATTTGTCAGGGGGCAGCTGTCTGGTGCCTTGGAGCACGGGGCAGGGGCAGGATTGGGGCGGGGCAGGCTCGGCGGATGCCCAGGGAGAGAGGACGCGCACGCTCCATTCTACTGCACCTCTGGGATGAGCTGGAAGAGCGCGTTAGAGAACAGCGTTCCGATGGACAGGGCGATGAAGTAAGTGAGCACGCGGCTGAAAAACGCTTTCTCCGTGCAGGGCAGGACGAGGGCTCCCAGGAGAGAGGCCAGGTTAATCAGTGAGACACTGAGGAAACCAAAGCCCCACACTGTGGAGGAACAAGAACAGACGGGGCCTCCATTACTGAGAGTGTGCTGCTGCGGCCTGGGCGGCCCCCGGGGTCCAGCTGTGGTCAGGGCACACAGACACGCACCGACCCCGCAGGAGGGACTTGCCGAGTCCGCCTCTTGCTGGGTGCTGCGGAGAACCCTAAACAAACACCGCACAGCTGCTGTCCAGAAGCAGTTTGCCTTTTAGATGGAGGCAGGTGAAAACACGAAGGACTAAGCGTTTAAGAACGATAGTGGAAAACAGTGAGGCGTGGCACAGGGAGCCTATCCTGGGTGTCAGTGTGGGCAGCACACACCAGCATGGCGGCCCTTTGGAAGGGCTACCCGGGCCTGCGGGAGCCACGTGCACTCAGAGTCCACAGTGAGTCCCCTGAGGCTGGAGCAGGGGTCCTGGGCAGGGGCGGGAGAAGGATGGAATGGTCTGACGACAGACCTTGTAAGGCCTGAAATGCCAAATGAAAAGCCAAGGTGTTGGCTCCCTTAGAGTTCCATGAAAACTAAAGTGGCAAAGTGGCCATAAAACACAATCCATAGTCGGGATGGTCCAAAGAGCCCAACACTAACCATTGCTCTGGCCACACTGGCCCATCGGACAACATGCAAGGACACCAGTATCACCGTCGCTCTAACGCACCCCTCCTGGTGTGGACAGCTGCTCACCAGTCACACACTGAGCAAGCAGCACTACTCATTAGCGGAGGTCCACGTGGAGACAGGCACGGGGGCCAGGCCTTCCTGTCCCAGCTCACCTTCCACGCTGCTCGGCCTCCCCTCCTCCGTCTGCTCGTTCTCCTCGTCCTTCTGGTTCTCCGAGGAGCAGGCCCTGGAGTCCAACTGCTGGAGGATGGTGGGGCAGAAGTCCTGGAACTCACTCGGCCCGATCCGAGACTGGTTGCTGAGGTTGTGGGCGGCAAAGAGGGCTCCGGAATTGAAGCACTGGAACAGACGAGGGGCAGAGAGCCTTAGAAACAGCCATGCCTTCCTCCAGGCAGTGACCGACTCAGCCTTCCGAGAAAGAACTGTCCAAGTATCACTGATTCTGTAAGACTAATCTACAGGGTGGGAGCAAGGTGGTCCTTCAACTAGAAAAAAACGGGTAAGTTATCTTCGAGATCAGCCATCGGGTTTATACATGTACAAACCCTACCTACAACATCTGTAAGGGCTGCCCAGAGGGTCTGGAAGAAACTGAATTCCCATCATTCTTACCGGGATGTGCTTTCTAGAAAACATGAGCCTATCTGCACACCTTGAGACAGATTCAACCAGATAGCAAATCTGGCTGCACATCACAATAGCCCAGGGAACTATCCTATTACAATGCAGATTCCAGACACTTCTCCAGAGCTATGGGGGGGGGGGGGGGGGGAGAGAGTAGTCAGCATCCATTGGCCATGAACTCTTCCACCCTTGGGGGGCAGCAGGGGCGTTGTTCTCACACACTGCTCCTATGAAACACGGCAGTTTTCCTTCTAATTATACTTCGTACATGTCAGTCTTTATCTGAGTTTGTGTTTACGTGGGTCTATCTCTAGAATCAGCCTTCCGGGTGTGTGGACAAGGGAGTTTCTGGGCCTCCCAAGCCGAGGATTCCGCTGACCCCAAGACGCTGCTGTTGTGCCCGGAAGCCTCTGGGATTAGGCAGCATCGGCCCCTGCAGCAGCCTCCCCACCAGCTCAGATACGTCCCCGCCCCCGCGGTGCTGTGTCCCGGCCACAGGGGCCCCTGATCTCTCCTTCGAGGCGAAGCTCCAGACTCCTCACCTCAAACCTGCCGGGACTGTTCTAGTGCACACTCTCCTCCCGGTCTCATTTTACAGTCCCTGAAGGACTGTCCAATCCACAGCATCGAATGCTTCACTCAATATCAGCTAACTTTGTTCTCACTGGCTGAGTTCCCCATCTTGACAATAAACCCCTAAACGTGACTTATTTTGTTAGGGGCGGGAGGGAGAGTCAGAATAGTGGGGACTAGCTATAGTTGTAAGAAATATTAATCAAGTTCTGTTAACCAGGGTTTGTTCTGATTAAAGAAAGCACATTCTGACCTGGCTGGGGTTTTATGCCCCTGGACCTGAGAGTTAACCTGGCACTCATTCTCCTTGCCTATCATCATGGAAAGATTAACAAGCCTGCTGCCAAGAGGAACAACGGAGTCCCGGAAGCCCCAACTCCCGCCCCCACCCCAGCTGCTTTCCCTGCGATCTGTACCCGTTATACCCACTCTTATTCCTTTTGCCTGCTTCCCCATGTAATCTTGTCCTTCTACCCATAATAAGCAGCTGGCTTATGGAGGCAGGAGGGTGGAGCAGATTGTGTGGATGACCTACTGCTCTCCCATGCTGGCTGCTTAACTGGCTCAAGTGGTGAAAGGCAGTCTGGACCCATTCGTAGTCCGGTTTCAATTTTTCCCTATTTCTCACAACACTTAGCATAGAAAACAAAATAGATAGAAAGCAACTGCTGGCTGACTTCTACCTGGCTGCCTCAAATAGCCCAAAATTCAGATTAGCCAAGACGATATGGGGGAAAAAAAACAGAGCCAGAGGTCCCGGTCCCGGTCCCTCCAGGATTTCACTATGGGACGCTCAGTGTTCTGTCCCACAGAATAAAGGTTTTCCATCTGCACCTAGAGGTGCCTCGAGGCTCAACTAGGAGAGAGGATGAAGGGCTTAGTAATCTACAAACTGCTGGAAACGCTGGCTGTGTTGGGAGCTCCAGCAGTTTGGGGTGATCCCAGTGCAGAATCTGGAGGGCTGAGAACCCCACTTCCAGCTACCCTTTGGCAATGGCTTCCAAACACCCATGCAGGTGGGAAGGCAGCGCAGCTGGAGATTCAGACTTGCTAACCCAAGGGGTTGGAAAGAGCTGGCTTCTGCTGTGTCATCAAGGTTTGCCTACCCCAATCCCCTGCTCCAGCAGCTCAGCTCCTATGCCTGCCTGAACTGTGAGCCCCGAGAGCAGAGTGCTGAGCAGAGCCGGAAACCTTACCGTGGACTGGTTCCTCGGTCCCTGAAGGGGCTGGGTGACATTGGCCGGGCCCACTCCCACCGACAGGTGGTCGAGCAGGTCCTTTAGCTGCGGCAGGGTGAGGCTGTCACCCTCCCCATAGCGATGCATGAGGTCCTGCAGGAAGGAGGCTGCACTGATGGCTGGTGTCCCCGTGGACACAGCTTGAGTTCCCGGAGCGGCTGTCCATAAGCTGAGTAGGGTCAGCAGGAAGCAGCGAGGGTGTAGCAGCTTCATGATGGTAAGTAAACCTGCAAGAGCAAAAAGGCAGATGAGGGTGAGGCTTAAAAAACCTACCTCTCAGCCCCAGCCAGGCAGCTCAGTTAGAGTGTCATCCTGATATGCCAAGGTTGTGGGTTGGATCCCAGGTGAAGGCACATACCAAAATCAATCAATGAGTGCATAGGTACGTGGAATAACAAACTGATGTTTTTCTGTTCCTCCCTCCTGTACCCCTCTCTAGAGTCAATAAATAAATAAATAAATAAATACAATTTTAAAGTCCTTATCTTTTAAAGATACAGAAATAATCATGGATTAAATAATATCTGGGATTTGCTTCCAAATAATTAAGGAGGAGGACTGGCATAGGAGTACAGATGAAACAAGATGGGACATGAGTTGGTCATTGCTAAACCTAAGTGATGTGCAGATGCCAATTCATTATACTACTCAGTCTACTTTTGTATATGTTTGAAATTCTCCAAAACAAATACCTAAAAAATTAAAACAAGCAAAATAGGAAAGAAAGAAAAAAGACTGAGAAAAATACATGCCATCAAATATGACAAAGGTTTATTTCTATCCTACCTAAATTAGGGGACAAGCATGGAAAATATGCAGTCCCTCTGGTTTGTGAAGAGTACAAATGGAAAAAATAGATAATGCTACTGCTACTTATTAAAATAGCAACATAGCCAAGATCGGTTTGGCTCAGTGGATAGAGAGTCGGCCTGTGGACTGAAAGGTTCCGGGTTCGATTCCGGTCAAGGGCATGTACCTTGGTTGCGGGCACATCCCCAGTAGGGGGTGTGCAAGAGGCAACTGGTTGATGTTTCTCTCTCATCGACATTTCTAACTCTCTATCCCTCTCAACTCCTCTCTGTGTAAAATCAATAAAATATATATTTTTTAAAATAATAAAATTTAAAAAAAATTTTAAAAAATAGCAACACAGATTTCCCCCCCCCTAAATAATCTAAACCAAATGTTAGTGAGATTGAACAACCAAAGAAGATGCGGCTAGTGGCTATGTAAATAATGTAACGCTTGAAAAGCTATCATAATAGAAGTATTTAAGTCCTCTGACTCTGTAATTCTACTTCTAGAATTTACAGTCACAGAAGCAATTCCAAAACAAAAAAGCTACAGGCAGCCCTAGCCTGTTTGGCTCAGTGGATAGAGCATTGGCCTGCAGACTGAAGGGTACCAGGTTCGATTCTGGCCAAGGGCACATGCCTGGGTTATGGGCTCGATCCCCAATAGGGGACGTGCAGGAGGCAGCCAATCAATGATTCTCTCTCATCATTGATGTTTCTATCTCTGTCTCCCTCTCCCTTCCTCTCTAAAATCAATAAAAATATAAAAAAAGAAAAGAAAAGAAAGAAAATAAAAGGCTACAGGCAGAAAGACGTATTAGGGTAAAATTTAACATTAAGAAGAACAATTACGTAACAGTTTAGAATTGAGAAGGGCTAAAACCGGTTTGGCTCAGAGGATAGAGCATTGACCTGTGGACTGAAAGGTCCCAAGGCACATATCTTGGGTTCAGGCACATCCCCAGTGGGGGGTGTGCAGGAAGCAGCTGATCAATGTTTCTCTCTCATCAATGTTTCTAACTCTCTATCCCTCTTCCTTCCTCTCTGTAAAAAAAAAAAAAAAAAAAAAAAAAAAAATCAATAAAAAAAAATATATTTTTTTAAAAATAACTGAGAAGGAACAAAGAAAAATGAAAGCTTTAAGACAGTAGGACAAACGACTTTTCATTTGTTAAGTCATTTCCCTTAGTACAGTTATAATTTAATTAGAGAAATAAATATCAGGAAGAGAAAAGGAGCCTCCTATTTAATCCAGACCCAGGACCCGGTCACTGCAGTTGTTTCCACACCTCCCTAACCATGAGGCCTCGCTGACGGTCACTCCACCTCCAGCCTCTGCTTGCGACAGAGCAGTGTGGTTCTGTGGTGGGCAGTTAGACAGACATGAGCAGAGCAAGGATGATGGGCCAGGTACAGAAGGCCACCAGGACGGAAACCCCCCAGGCGCTTAGCAAGGGACAACCCATTGTAGGGTGGGACCTGCCCCTTGGGTGATCTTTCTTCCCCGGGCATACTGCTGGCCACGCGGTCTGGACCCCTGGACCTTTCCTCCCTGGAGATAACATCTAGGCCTCAGTCATATTTCAGCTCCAGGCCCAGAGAAGCAACTGAACCAGCCACAGCTGTCCCCAGGACCAGCTGCATTGGATAATGACCCCTGCCCTGGTGCCCGCCAATCAGTGGAGACCCCAACCCTGAAAGCACACACCTGGAACACTGCTGAATGTGCTATTGAAATCTTCCCCTGGGACCGCCCCCAAAATCTCCACCGTAAAACCCTTAATGGAGGACCCAGGGCACTCCCTTCCCCTTCAACTTCCCCCTCCTAAACTTCCTCACTCCCAAGCTCACAGGGCTCTTCTTTTATCACTATAACTTGTTTCCCAAGCCCTTTTCTTCTAGGAATTACTTTTTCTACCTCTGTGATTTTATAAATAAATATTCTCTTACAGTTTGGGTCTTGCTCTGAATTCTTTCCTAGCCAGAACCCAAGCACTAAGGTTGCAGAACCAAAGTCTGGTCTGACCCCCGGGTCAGACACCTAGTGCCGTTCCGGCCGCCTGCTATAGCTCAGAGCAGGCCTGTTTGCATCCCGGATCTGCCCCTTACCGGCTGTGTGATCTCCGGTGAGGTATTAACCAGCATCAACACCCAGACCAGCGATGGCCTTTGGTGTCAGAAAGACCCAGCTTGAATTCCCGCAATACTGCTTACCCAAAGTGACCTTGGCCAAGTGACTTTGGCTTCTCTCCACACTTTGATTTTCTCATCTATAAATTTGGTAGCACTCACCGGATTACTGTGAAGATTTACTGCCATGAACTAAGATAAGTCTACTGAGTGCATGGGCTTTAGAAAGCAGTCAATAAAGTGTGGCTATTATTTTACGACTTATAATTAGCAGAGGTCCTCTATTTTGACTCCTCAGCCCAGATAAGGAGCTGCTAACAGAAATATTCCTTTGACTGACTTTATTTATTCCAGGCCTGTGGCCTACACATCACACAAGTCCCTGACTGCAAGCACATCTGGGACATTCCAGGCAGTATGGGGTATACACAGAATCTGAGGTCACAAAGCATCACTCTTTATGGAATACTAGAGGCCCAGTGCATGAAAATTCAGGCACCGGAGGGGGTCCCTCAGCCTGGCCTGCCCCCTCTCACAGCCCAGGAGCCCTCAGGGATGGGAGGCAACCTGACAATCTGGGGAAGGTGTTGCCCCATCACACTTCTGCTGCTGCCACTGCTGGCAGCACAAGCCTCAGCCGGCCCTGGTTACCTGAGCCTCGGGCAACCCTGGGTGGCTGGGCAGCCACCATCCAAGGCCTGCCTGCTCCTTGGGCCGGCCCTGGGCAGCTGGGGGCTGAGGGAACTGGGGGGCTCTGGAGGCAGGTAGGCAGCAAGGCTGAGGGGACTGGATGTAACCATCTTGTGCATGTGGGTGCTGCCATCTTTGAGGACGTGGCAGTCAATTAGCATATTCCCTCCTTATTGGCTGCAGGCGCTGCCATCTTTGAGGGTGGGCCAATCAATTGGCATATCTACTCCTTATTGGCTATGGGCACTGCATCTTTGCAACAGTGTGAGGATCAATTAGCATATTCCCTCTTTATTAGATAGGATACTTTGAGTCCCACAAAGGAATGGATTAGGTAAAAGTGTTACTTTGAGACAACTCTCAAATCTCCACCAAGAACCAAAAGTTAAATTATAGTGCAGGGTGGCTCTTAGCTGAAAATGGCTAAACCCCATTGTACAAAGAAAACTGTTCTCCGCCTGAGCACACTGTTCTCTGTCTAAGGGTCGAGTTGGACTGTCAAAACAAAGAGCTGCGTGGACTAGGAAGGAGAGGCAGAGGGGCAGCTAGTGCTGCCCCTGTGCACCTTGCTCTGCACTGACAGTCATGATTCCTGTAAGAGAATCAGGACACTTAGCCCATCTACTAAACGAGGAGACGGGTTCAGAGATTAGGAAATGTGATCCATGGCCAGCAAATAGAGCAGCGAAGCCAGAAACTAAATTTTTCATGAAAGGAAGCCAGGTCTGAATGACACTAAAGCCAAGGCACTCTTAACCACTGTCCCTGCTGGGTAGAGACACAAAAATACACACTCTGATTCCCATGAAGACCCACACAATCCTGCATCCTCTGGGCAGATGGGCCCCAGTTCCTCTCAGCCCAGCCAGCACCGGTGTAGAGGAACCCCGGATACGCCTCAGCAGCTGGCCTGTATTTTAGGGCTCCTTCTATAGAACCACTTCAACAAAAACAACCGTTCTACTTCAGCTGGATTTCTCAAATTTATCTGTAGCAACTCCAAAACATCAGAAATAAAAACAAATATAAAGATCTCTTCAAGTATGAATTTTAGCTCTCCCTGGATTGGTATTCAGGTCAAGGTCACCAGTTATTAAGTATTGGTTCTTCACTGACCCAGTGGGCATGGCAGCCTGGAGCGGATGGGTAGATTCAGCAAGCAGAGCCTTCCTGCCCGGCCAACACTCTGATGCAGCCCACCCCCCAGAGTCTAATAACCATGGGACGCCAGTAAGAAGTCCTGGTCCACTGACCTGGGATTTGTTCAAGACGCTTCCAAGCCAAGTGACCCTGAACTTTTGGCAGACACGAGAAGAGGAGCTTCCTGCTCCAATGCAGGTTTTCCTTCCCTTTACCTACAAGTTATTCTTGGAAAATAAGTTTCTAAAAAGAAAGAAGAGAAGGCCAAACATACATACAGCTCTTGGAATAGCTGGATGGTGCAGTAGGGCAAGTCCTCGCTGCGTGGCCTCAGCGGCAGGAGGAAGCCGGGTCTACTAAGGCCACGGAAATGGGTGGGCCGGTGGGCTGCTGCAGTCCCCCCAAGGAGCTGCGCCCACTGCCCTCAGGGACACCTTCCAGGAGTGGAAGAAGAGCATGTGGGACCGGGCATC